GTTGCAAGGTGCTTCTGGTAGCCATCCCATCCTCGTCGCCAGTGTTAAGTTTGAGCAATGAGAGGCTGAACCAGAGCATGAGTGCAACAGTACTTTATTTTACAAATAAAGGGCTGACCGTGCTTGCCAAGCCTGGAACTGGCTCGCAGCAATCAGCAGCCAGTTGGACCCCGCAGCCTGCTTTTATATCTGGCTGCTGGGGAGAACTGACCAATGGGAATGGGGGAATAACGCCCACACAAAGTGAGTGGACCTGAGTGAGAACTCCTTGAGTCCTCAGGACATAACACGCCCCCTGCCTTTTATTCCCAGAGCTAGGCTGTGGCTTCGCTAGCAGTGGTGGCTCTTCCATCCCAAGGATCGGTCTACAGATTTCCACTGCTCTCCTCTCCTCTGCCTTCTGCAGATCCATGCGTCAGGCACTGGACCCAGCTGTTCCTCCTCTTCCTTATCAGCCACCTCCAGACCTGGGGGCTATTGACTCTCCGTCTGAGGGTTGATGGATAGCCCAGGCTCCGCCTCTGTCTCTCTCTCTCTGACAGCTCCATTTCCTCTTCCCCCTTGGAGCTCTCAGGTTACCTTGATACTGACTCTCTCCCTCATCTGATTTGGATGTTGGAGGGGTCAATGGCTGACAGGCCACAACATAAAGGTTTAGATTCTGATTGTTGGGTGGAAGCAAATACAGGTAGACCTCAACTTACAACCACAGTAAATTTATATGGTTAAGTGATAATTTTTTAAAGTGAGCTTTACCTCATTTTACGAGTTTTATTGTCACATTTGTTAAGTGAATCACTGCCGTTGCTAAATCAGTAACATGGTTGTTAAATGAATCTGGCTTCCCCATTGACTTTGCTTGTTGGAAGGTTGCAAAAGGTGAACACTGCAACTGTCATAAATGTGAAACAGTTGCCAAGCATCTGAATGTTGATCATGTGATCATGAGGAGGCTTCAATGGTCATAACTGTGAAAAATTGTCATAAGTCTCCTTTTTCAGTGCTGTTGTAACTTTAAATAGTCACCAAAAGAACTATTGCAAGTTGAGGACTACTTGTAAACCACTGGCTAAATTGTTCCACCTTGTTCTTCTTGGACTTAGCTTGACAATAAGTATTTTCCTGACAACAGAGTATAAGTGATTTATAGCTGCCTTCTTTTAGATTGGCTTTCAATTCTCCACTTTGGCTTACAACTCTGATTCTTTGAAGGTGTCCCATCCAATATCCCAAGACACCTTCCAGAGCCAGCCAGGCATTGTTATCTGCTGGTACCATAACTAGATTACACCTTCACAAATAAGAAATAGGTCAAGGAGCGGCATGTGTCCAGTCTATTTAAAACAAATCCGAAAAGAGGTAAACAAGCTACTGTAGTAACTAAAATACAAAAGCACATTTCATATGATATTCACTGCAAATGATTTTGCTTCTATAATATTTAAATAATTAAAATTCTGGAACTAAGTGGAGATCGAGCTGCAACGTTGTTTCTAGGATATTACTTCCTCATTATTTATTTTCCTGAAAACAATGAATAAGGCTAACTTTTCAGTGCAAAAGTGAAGAACTGCACTTATAATCTGCCTGGGCACTGGGATAAATTTTGATTATGGACAACATTCAATGAGGATAACTCAAGTCTGAATCCAAAAATATTTCTAAGTCATAAGCAGACCTGGTTAAAAACATGGAGGGAAGGGGTGTAGAATGACGTACATGTAAATGGCACCTCGGGAAATACACAACTATAATGAAGGACACTCACACATGTGGTTATTTGTGCCTTGAACTGATCTTTGCTTCAGCATATGCTCCCTCATTCCAAATCTTCCACAGCATTTAAAAGAGCAAAAGAGAACCTTCTTTGTCATGTATTACTCAATGCTGTATTTTCTCAAAAATTAAGTTAGCTTTCTTTCTGTTACCAGTTTCTGTTCCTCTACAGATTTAAAACATTTCATGTCATGCATATCAAACTTTTCTCTCCTTTGTAAACCACTTTTATCCTGTTTCTCTAACAATATGGCCTCCCCCAATAGGAAGTCCCAGCATGTTTTAGAGGCATGAAATGAAATTAAGCCCCTCCCCCCAAATTAAGGCCTATATTAAAACATGCGAAATGGGGGGAATGGTGGGGGGGCTTGCCATTAGGAAGTAATTTTGTTGCACACCTGGATATGGTGCTGCCTGCGTTGACCCCAATACGAAGTGCCCCACCAACGCCGAGGTCAACATCCAAGCCATCGCCGCCCGCCTGCCCGAAGATGCAAGGGGGGGGGGGAATTATGTCATCCCACGAAAATGGCCTAGCCATTTTTGGGGGGCTCAAAAAAAAATAAGACCCGGCCTTATTATATGAGAAACACGGTAGTTCCTTGAATGTGGTGTCTTCTCTTGGATTGACTCATATTCTTTTTGGGTAGGATTTGTTTTGCTTTCTGTATTATTGTCACTCTTACTGTGAAGTGTTTGTGCGATTCATTTATTGCTTCAATTTTAATTGTTTGGTGCTTAAGAGAATTTATTGTGTGGATTCAGATCCATCAATCAAAGCTGGTGTGCTAGTGGGTTAAAATATCAATAATAGGAATCTGAAAAACAGTGAAGCAGTGAAAGAGTTGAAATGAATTGTTTGAATACATTATGAGTAGCAAACCATTTTAAAAAAGGAGTGCTAATACCGTATAAAGAGCAGCTTGTCTCCCACTCAGCCTATTATCTCATTATGCAGCTTTTCAGCAGCCCAATGGTTTACTCACTTTGTGTCAAATGCAATTAGTTAGAAACCAGTTTAGCATTTTAAATGGATACCACTTTTACCCTTTCCCTATACTTTTTTTTTGCACGATTAGGTGTATATAAAAATCGTGTTCCTTAATATCAGAATCACTCAAAACTTTCAAAAGAAACTTGTGTAGTTGATGTTTAACTTCCCGCTCAGCCTATTAACCCCATTTTTTTCAGTGTCCAATAAAATATAATGTACTGAAAGGGAAAACATTCTTTTTAATATATGGACACATAAATACCAGGCAGGGTTTTGATTGCCCCATTGAAGGTGTCATCTTGACTTTGGCATCGCTGTTTGAATTTGTGTGTCTTGATGGCTCTATTCCTTCCCTACCCTCTAGGCAGAAAGGATAAGCTTAGAGCTACAGGTCAGATAACACACTGTTTTAATTCTTTAACTGACACCTTTAGGGCCAAAAAAAAAAAAAGGTTGACAACACGTCTTATCCATTTCATTATAAAATAATCCATGTAACTGCTAAACAAATTAACAGGAAACAAGTGGGAGAAAAGAGCTCAAGGGCATCTTCTGGTGTGTATGGCATAAAACATAGATAATAAAAAGCCAGTTAATAAAAGCTTTAGAAAGTCATACTAATGTATTTTTCTCAGGAAAAAGTCACCACAGTCTAAAGTATTTACTCATTTGTAAGAGTGGAGTAAACAACAATAGAGAGTTCTCATCATCCTTCTCATCCAAAAAATATTTCAGGCCTTACTTGTGTAGATACATTCATCAAAGACTATTCAATCTTCAAGTACCAATCACTTGGCTCTTTACTGTTTCTGGCACTTCCTAGAAGTCATCTAACACTTCTAAACTCATTCACTTTTTGCAACACTGGTGATCCTGACTTTGTTCATAGTTTCAGAATACTGTAATGAGTAGCCTATAGCCTTTCAGATTTTCTAAATATCATTGTTCAAAGAGCCACAAGTATCCTAATTCCTGATTAAAAACAAGGGGGAAATCTATATTCTTACGAAATCAAATATGTAGCATATTAAGATTAAACCGTTTTTGTTGCATTTGGGCAAAAACGTTCAGTTCTTTTGAATCTTGGAAAGAAAAAAATATTCGGCACCACTGAAAATGTTTCTCTATTTTTTTGCCCAAATAGTGGACTCTGGTTATAGTCTGTAGATATTCTCAATCACTCAGGTAATGGTTGTCCCAAAGGTGCTTTTTCAGGAGGCAACTGGACTTTTTTAGTTTTTTCTTTTGAAGACTTTTAGCTATACAATTTGGGATGAGCACCTTTTGAATGGTGTGGGAGGAAAAAAAATTGCAGACTACAGGAACTAGAAGCACTACTCAAGTGACCTTGAGGACACAAATAAGCTTCCAAGTGCTTCTCCAACCCTCTAAAAGGATGCAAATGACCAGCTGTCTGCAATGAATATAAATCTTTCTATTCCCCACTATCCCATCAGACCAGTGGTGGGATTCAAATTTTTTTACTACCAGTTCTGTGGGTGTGGCTTGGTGGGCGTGGCTTGTGGTGTGGTAGGAAAAGGATACTGTAAAATCTCTAATCCCATTCCACCCCTAGGGGAAGGTTACTGCAAAATCCCATTCGCTCCCCACCCCACTAACCTGCTTTCCAGCTCTGTTCTCTTGTGCAGGGCAACAAAAAAAGACCCAGCTGATCAGCTGGGCCTCAGGAGGCAGAGAATAGATGGGGGCCAGGCCAGTCAGAGGTGGTATTTGCCAGTTCTCTGAACTACTCAAAATTTCTGCTACCGGTTCTCCAGAACTGGTCAGAACCTGCTGAATACCACCTCTGCATCAGAGCTGAAGAAACTTCTTGAATGAGAAGCTAAATGTCTTCAAAAGAAAAAAATGAGAAAGTCCAGTTGCTTCCTGAGAAGGCACCTTTGAGGCTCTGGTTATAGTTCAGACAAGACTAGATCCAGATATTTAAGGTCCCAAGGAAATAAAACAAATTAGAATCCAGAGGGAAGTTGCCCGGCTTTCACTAGAAATGAAGGCATTAATTTAAAAAAAGATGATTTTTGCAGACTGAGCAGTTCATCCAATAAAGATTCAAATGGAAGCTTTGTCAGTTATCATGTTTTAAGTATAAAGGTATCAAATTGGTAAAACAAATGGCATGTGCAGTGATTATTCTGTTTAACTTACTTCACTTAGATATTTTCATAGTTATCATTCATATTATGTTCCTGTAAGAAAACACAGCTTTTACCTGTTGAAAACACGCTTGCACAAGATTTTCAGGAAATAAGTTTCGAATAAGATCCAAGAAAGCATCAAGACTGGATACTTCGTCATTCTTCTTTCCTTCTCCCAGCTGCTTCTTGAGTTTTGGATTGCCAGGATGAATAGCTAACACCAAGATCACTCCCAGGATAGCAGCAATGATTGTTGTGGACATGTAATATACCATAGCTCTCGTCCCTAATCGACCACTGGCCTTAGCATCCAGTCCAGACAGCCCTGTAACCAGAATTGAATTGGGAAGAATTCAAACACAAATGTTATCTTCTTGATTATTGAGAATCTGAATAATGACCAAGCATGCTTCTCATGATTAGCATTTTGCAAATACGTATACCCTCTTGCTGTTGCATTTTGGACATTTTTCACTGGTCTGTATACTTCACAATCTAATATAATAGTATATATTTTCTTTATTTTTCCTATATATAACTTTGATACAGAAAGTCACAGATAACAGTTTCCATAGAAAAATATCATGGATAAATATGTATAATAGTTCATTTTAAATACCTGTAAATCTCTAAGCCAGTGGTGGCTAACCTTTTTGGGTTCCTATGCTGAAAATTGCGAGCACGCCACCATGCCTGCACTCGCGTGCCAGACCCAGAATGCAATGCCCACACCCTCTGTGCATGGGCGCGCAATGCCCACCTTACCTCCTTACCTGCACTGCACCTCACAGCTGATTTTTCAGCTGGTTTGAGGCCTTTTTCCACCTCAAAGAGGCTTGGAAAAAACGTCTACAAGGCTTCTCAGGCCGAATTATAAGCCTGTTTTGTCACTTCCGGTATTACAGGAAGTGGCGAAATGGGCCTATAATTTGGCCTGAGAATGCTTGCAGAGGCTTTTTCCAAGCCTCTGGGAGGCCGAAAAAGGCCTCAAACCAACCGGGGGGTGGGGATCAGCTGTGAGGCATGCGCATGCACACTGAGGTAAGTTTGCCTGCGGCTTGCATGCCAGCACAAATGGCTCTGCATGCCACTTGTGGCACATGTGCCATAGGTTCACCATCACAGTTCTAAGGTATCTTAAATGATTAATGTATATTGATGAGTACATAGATTGATCAGTTACATTAAACGTAATCCATCAGTTAAATTAAAGTAAAAATAACAGAATAACAGAGTTGGAAAGGACTTTGGAAGTCTTCCAGTGAAACTCCCAGCTCAAGCAGGAGACCCTATACCATTTCAGACAAATGGTTGTCCTCTCTTTTTAAAAACCTCCTTTGTTGAACCACCCACAACTGGCAGCAAGTTGTTCCATTTATTAATTGATCTTCCATGGTTGCTAAAAATCCTATGTATGTTCATCAGAAATCAGTCTCACTGTATTTAGTGAGGAAATACTTCTAAATAAATGCCTATAGTCTTGTGTGGACTTAGATATATTTATTTATTTATATACCTGGAACATTGTTTCATACAAATTCTTTTTATATTTTCCATTCAAGGTGCTTTGTTTGATAGTAGCCCTGAAGTAGGCCTACTGTATATGCATTACAAATATTCAGAAGATCACTAGATATCAGCAAGGAGACATAAAAACTGCAAACTCTTTGCTCCTATCTAGTGGTCATCCAGAAGTTTGTGGTCTAGATATGGTAGTCTTCCTGAGATCATGATACCTTCTGACAATCTCAAATTCATAGAGGCAATGTCACTTTTAATTCTGTGTCATTAGAGTCATCAATGATTGGACTCAAAAGGAATCTCTGTGTTTGAACAGAGAGAAGAACATCAGAGAAGAGAATAGCGAGTAAACACTATTTTAAAATTAATCACTGTAACATCCCAATCCTTATTAATGAATTGCTGTCTCAGAATTCTACAGATCATTAACATATCATCTGTTTTTATAAACATAAGTACTGATTAACATATTGATTCCCCTACTAAGGATGTGCTACTGCTGAATAATGGGGAAAAATATTAAACTTTGAAAAGCGGTCAGCCTGATCCTAAAGGTCTTTATTTCTCACAGGATATGAAATTCCATTTGTTCATAATATATCTGACCTGTGATTAAACTTGAGATTATTAAAGGGAGGATCAACATTTTCAACATCCGCATCAAAATATCTCCAGGGAAGGCTATCAACATGACGACATCAGGATTAATAGGAGCTGCCATGCGAAGGAGCATTCCACATAACGCTCCCATAATGACACCTGAATGTACAAAAAAAATTAGAAAGGAAGGTTTAGGAAAAAATAGTCTGAGTCTTTATCCATCATTTTGTAGAATTATCTTGGCAAAATGAAGTTTTCCAACAAGGAAAATAAGGATACCATAATCCAGTGGTGTCAAACTCGATTTCATTGAGGGCTGCATCTAGGTCGTGTTTGACCTTGGGGTGGCTGAGGTGAGTGTAGCCAGGGTGGTCATGGCCAGCTCAACATCACTTGTGTTGGGGACTCCTATGGTGGCCCAAGTGCTCTACAGTGAAAACGGGCTCGTGAGCTCTGTTTTCGGCTACGACGGCCTCCTGTAACCCACTGGCAGTGAAAACAGAGCTCAGGAGGGCCCCATGTGTCCCTCCCGAGCTCTGTTTTCACTGGCAGAGGCACCGTGGGCCAGTCCTTCGCTGTTCCAGGGTGGCCCCGCAGGCCAGAAATAAACATCCCATGGGCCGGATCCAACCCCCAGGCATTGAGTTTGACACCCCTGCCATAACTAGTCAACAGTTCTCAATTTCAGTAAATAAGGTTGCGGCCTTCCTGATAAGCTCAGCAGGATACAAAAACTTATATCTTGCACTTTTATGATTCTGGGAGGGGGATGAGTTGAACACTGCTGCTCAAATAGCTTGGGATGTCTACAGAGATATAATGCCTGGTTCCCACCTATTCTCAGGAAAAACAGTGCTAATTGGTAAAAGCCACTGAACATGTCTTCTCACTGAAGCAATTTGATAATAAACTATATTGCTTACCGTATGTGCAAGAATGATACAACTGTGCTGTAAGCATTTTTAATTGTTGACAATCAGAGGTCATTTACTAATTAATACTTTTTAAAGGAATTTGAGATGGATATCACAGTATTGCTGCATAAACATTTCAAGATAGGTCTAATAGATTTTATATCTGATGGCCCTGTGACTCCGAAAAGGACAAGGGACAAATATTCTAGGCATATTCCTAATAAATTAGCTTACTGGTAGAATCTCTCAAGAGACAGTTGCAAACTATTCTGAAAGACAGTTTTCCTTGCTCACTAAAAAACTCAAAAGCTGAACATGGAATTTTGTCAGTTTGTGCCAGAAGCAGGTTTGAAAAGGGAGCAAGAGAGTTGGTTTCTGCAGGAAATCCACCAGAAATGTGTTAGGAAATTAAAATATTTTGGAATATTAGAAGTGTAAACTCACATTCTATCATCCATCCATCATCTGTCTGTCTGTCTGTCTGTCTATCTATCTATCTATCTATCTATCTATCTATCTATCTATCTATCTATCTA